AAACCCAAGACAAGTATGCAAAGATTACAACTTTCCCAAGAGAGTTTGGGTGATCATCAGTGGATGGTGGAACTTAGTGTCACAGGTGGGACCTATTTTACAGGGTTCAGTCTACAAAGTTTGGAGAAAATAGAGGAGAAGGATTGATAAGTACAGAAAGAAATAATTTGGCGTGATCTTAATATCACTTTTGGTGGAACATATGGAAGGAAAAAACCCATTGAACCTTTCAGTACAACCGCTATAAGTTGCATACCTAATTAGAGAAGATATTCAACAACATAAGTTGGTGCTTCGGAATGTTCAGTCTGGATAATGAAATGGCTTTCTTTCCAGTTTTTAAGGATCCTGCTGAGTTAGTTTTTTTTTTAAAAAAAGGATCCTGCTGAGTTTCTTTTTATCCAGTTTTTCTGCTTTACCGGACTAAGTGTTGTTAGCAAGGAGTTTTTCTTTTTCTCAGTTAGGATGAGCTCAGCGGAACCTTGTAAAACCTTTTGTAATAACTTTTTTTTTACTTTACTCTACAAATATAATTCGGCAAACCTTTTGCTGGCCTTTTCAAAAAAAAAAAAAAACTATTCACACAAATTTAAGTCTTTGTTTTGGATCTTTCAAAACAGGAATCTTTAACTTGACACAAGTTATCGTATTTTTCTGAATTTATTTCAAGATTTAATAATATTGTTATTTTTATGGTAGGCGTCAATCTCGAGATCAATTGGTTCATCTTAGTGTCTTGGAGATGCTTATAGGGACCGGGTGTGTACGTCCATTTATAAGGGGTGAGTATGCATATATGTATGAGTGTGTGCCTATGATTCGTAAAAAAAATAAATAAAAAGGTAACTAGTTATTATAGCCCTGTTCGGCTTACCTCATATTCAGCTTGTTCGACTTCTTTTTTCAGCCGGAACAATGTTTTTCTCTCACAACAATTCAGCCAGAACAGTGTTTTTCAGTCAGTTTCAGCCAAGTTTCAGACCAGCGAACGAGGCCTATATCATTTAGCAAAAAAAAACACCTCATGAATGTTACTTCTTCATTTTTCTTGGAAGACAGATTTGTCGAAAACATCCCCTGCAAAAATATACAGGAAAAGGGCATATGTATTTTCTGGCCAAATTCCGCCATGTTGGAGAGGGGATGCTGCTCTCTCCGGTCCGTTGTGTTTTTACTGTGCTTTAGTTTGGGTTGGACCAAAATCCCAGCCCAGTAGCCCACATAGTTTTAACGGCCTGCGCATGGCTAGCTACTCGTAGCTGGATTGGAATTTGGGGTAGGTAGAAGAATGGAGGGCAGAGAGACAGAAAGAGAGGTAGGTACAGGTGACTAGGTGAGGTTAGGCCTAGGCGTTCGGGTTACCCTAATTTTTCGGGTCAGGTAATTCGGGTAATAGAAAACACTACCTGATTCTAGCTTGAAAAATTACTACCCGTAATTTCATATTCAGTTTCAGGTGAGGACCGAGCGTTAGCTCGATTGGTCCGGCCTCCATGTGTGAAGGGACCGCTCGCGGCTTCGATTCCTGATGGACGAACTTGCTTGCCTCACCGGGGTAGGCCCCCAAATAATTTCAGCTGGCGTTTGGACCGGTTCCAAGCGTTTGCCTCTCCTGCGTGATACCACAATGGGATGTGACGTGCCCGTCGCTTACAAAATCTGTGGATTTCGGTGATCTCAAGAAGGACGCGATCTTCAGATCTGGGTGTAGTTATATGTTTGTTTGTACACGGGTGGTGTGAGTAGTGTGCGTGTGTTGTGTGGGCGTGCGTGTGTACGAACAGATGCTACAGCTGTACCTAGATGAGAGGCTATAAAAAAAAGATTCAGCCGAAGTCACAGAGGGTGTGTTTGGTTAGTTGGGCTACTGGAGCCTGGCCAGAGAATCAAACAGGCCAGCCTAGGCCCGCTCCCCACAAGCCAAGCATGCTGTGTTTGGTTGCTCCCCCAAAGCAAAGCTGGCTGGCCCAAGAGTTTGTTTGGTGGGCTGTGCAAGTGTCGTCCTGCATTGCTGAAGCCAAGGAATTCGGTGTTTGGTAGCCTGCACACGAGGGGATACAGTGACCGTTTCTTAGTTCTGGTGATGTTACCTCGCTCGCGGTACCGCCTGAATAAAAGCCGAGGCCGACTCCTCAGTTCCCCTCCTCCGCACCTAAAGATGGCAGCGGGCGTGATGCCCACGGATACTACCTTTTTATGCCCGCGCCCACCAGCTAAATCTCTTGCCCGCGCCCGCGACCCGCCACGGGCAACAAACCACGCCCGCGCCCTCCATCCGCGGGGGGCATGCCCGTGTGCCCGCCAGGTTGAGCATATACATAAACCATAGTGCATTACAAGAGATATGAAGATACATATTCACAACAAATCGTGTATATATACATATATTTGCTTGTAGGTCCCACATGTTAGACCTGTGGAGCGGGTCTGGCGGATAAGCGGGCGAGGATAGCAAATTTCTTTGCCCGCGAAGAACTATCCTCTGGGTTCAGGATGGTGCCTGCGCCCGTGCCCACGGGCAAGAAGTGGTGCCCGTATCCTTGCCCATCGGGTTCCATGCCCGTGGGCATGCGGACATTCTGTGCCCGTTGCCATCTTTATCCGCACCCCACAACTCCATTCCCACCAGCTCCTTCACTCTGCCTCGTCGCCCTCACGCCCTCCGCCGGCGTCACCGGCCATGGACGCAGCGTCTGGAGCCGCATCCGGGGAGAACCGCGCTGGCGGCCAGGTTGCTCGCGGTGGACGCGGAGTCTCGGGTGCCTGGATCCTCCACGTCTCGGTCCTCCAGTGATGGTGACTCTCGTCGTCACTCTGCTGGTAACGGTCGCTCGAGCGGCGGCACCAGGGGTACCGATTCAGACGACTCCGCGGCGGGAAGAGCGTCGTCTCAGGCAAGAACTTCATCCCCTTCTCACATTTGGTTATCTGCTTAGGGTTTTGGTGGTACGTGTACAGTGTAATCCCCAATCGGTGATAAAAAATTAGAGAAATGCTATACAACACATGTTTTTTAGCAAAAAAAAAAACACATGGAATTTTTTCCTCTCTCTCCCTCTCTCTCTTTTCAACTATCTTCTCGGCCTTGTGCTCATCGCGGGATAGCATTCCAAGGAGCGGGTCGTCGACGTGACGGAGGCCACGCCGCTCACGCGTTCAGGTCCGACGGATGATGTTCCTCCCTGCTGCTTGCAGTTACCTCTGCTGCCGGCTGGGAACCTTTTTTTTTTCTTGCATAAAAAAATTATTTCTGGTGATTTGTGATCCTGTGACTTGTGATTTGTGATTGAGTGGAGGCAGAAGAAGGCTGCAGGTAGAAGGAGGACGGAGGCTGTTGATCTTAACTCTACGGTGAAAAAAATTTGTGTTGAAACTGTATAAAACATATGGTTTTAGGGTAGACAGACTCAAAGATTATGGTTTTGATCAAATTTGGCGTCAATTTCGACGAATTGTTGAGCAAGATTCCACCTTTTTGGGTCGCGCGTCTTTAGTTAGGGTTCTTGAGTAAGGGTCCTTGAGGAGGATTTTGTTTTCGGGTTGTAGGCACTGTCTGAAACTTTCGTTCCTGATGCTGTTCCTGAGGATGACTGGACTGGTCTAGGGGTTGTTTACCTGCCCAAGTGCGAGCACGGACGGTATGCCAAACTCAAGAAATGCTGGGGGGCAAGCACACCGGACGCCGCTTCCTTGGATGCCCAATGAAGGTGAAACAATCAAGAACTTCTCCTTTCTGTTACTTTGGACACCAATTATGTAGTAATCAAAATTGACTTCACTTTGCAGGAGCTGGTGGACCAGTGCCAGTTTGTTGAGTGGGTTGATGCCGAGCGGCCTTTCTCAAGAAACTTTGGCTGGAGCTGAAGGAAACAAGGCATGCTGAGCAGCGGGCTACTGAGGCTTGCATGATGCTGTCCTGTATACTGAACAGATGCTCAATGCGAAACTAACACTGGCGGAAGAAGTGCACAGCACCAAGCGTGTTGCTTGTCGTGTTTGTCAGGCATACCAGAAGAAAGCCTTTCTCATTGCCATGGACAAAAGCAAGCTCTTCTATCTAACCTACTGCCTGATGGTCCTTGTCATTGCGCTAATGGTAGTTGTAGTCATTCTCAAGATCTGAGTGTGCAGCATGGCAAGTAGTTAGCAGTGCCGGTTAGGCCTTGAGGTTGTCTAACTTAGTACACCTGACTCTTTTGTTAGCGCAGTTAGTACTGCATCTTACTAGTGGCAAGTTCCAGTTGCTTACTGATGACCTGATTTTAGTAATCGGTCAAGTTTATGATCTTTTGGTCAATGGCCTCGTTCGCTTCGCTGAAAAAACAAATCGAAATACTGTTTAGCTTGATTTATTGTGAGAGAAAAATACTGTTCTGGCTGAAAAAATAAGCTGAAAAGTATGGATTATAAGACAAGCAAAATATATTCCCTCCAGCTAGCTTTTTTTTATTGGATATAACTTGAACGCATACAGGCCACGCATTCACGTTTACACCACGCGCACACAGGTTTGCCCGTCCTGATCGTCTGTACACACGTAAAGATGAAATACCAATGACTATGATGTGAACCGTTAAAGTGCTTGCATTCCTCCTGCTAGCTACTAACACACGGCGTTGTTACATGGACCGAATTCGTTCCGGACCTGAGCGTTGTTACATGTGTTGTGAAACCCACACCATGCATGAACGGACGTCTACAGATGAACATGTATCTCTTTACGAGTGATCTCATCCATCAAGTATAGGATTAGTGGATAGAATTAAACAGTTAGTTTTAGTCTCAAATGACATATCTTTTAGAAATAGTCGTGTCTCTTCATGACACCCCTTCACTTATATAAATATATTTTCGAGATCAATGAAAGCAACGATTCTTCCAAATCTTGTTCATTTACATTCACATTCTAATACGTTATCACGCACGTTTGCTTTCCACTGGCTTTGGTCGGCAAGCAAGATGAAGATGCTAGCGACGCAGAGTTCTTCCATGGACCGTCTTTACGTCACTGCAAGATCGCCGGCATCGAATCCTCCAAGTTCTTCCCTGGAGTAAAGGGGAACATGCAAGAACTGGAGACCGCCAGTCTCTGTCATGAACAAGAACAGGCGATGGTGTTTTTCACACCGATGAAAGAAGAAGAAGAAAAGATGTCCATGATGGGATCTTCGGTGAAGAATGAAGAAAAATACATCTGGACACAAAGGCTGTAAGGCCGGATCAGGTCTTTCTTCAATTCATCATCCTCTTACCTTGCTTTGCAGTTAAAGACTGTTTTTCCTTCATCCCCGGCCACCGCGTTCTCCTCCTCCTCCGATGAGGCTTTGCCTGCTGTGCCGGGCTGCTGGCATGTGGAAGGTGTTGGCGAGGACGACACACGGCTGGCGGCTGCTGTGGTTCATTCCAATCGACGGACGACGGCCTCCCCATCGGTGGAGTGCCCGCGCGGCTGAACGCTAGACTGGCAGCGTCCGTGGTTGGCAACTCCACGACCAGCGGCTTCCTTGGCATGGCCCCGTGCGGCCTCCGCGCGCACCGTGGCCCCGCGCCGCAGGCGGTGCCCCCCTGCATCCGCCCGGAGACGGCTTCCCGCGCGGCCTTGTGCCCGCGGCCGGTGGCCTCGTCCTCGCAGCAGGCGGCCTGGCGCGACTTGGTGCCCGCAACCAGCGGAAGCGGCCGGCTGCTCCCCATGGTGCCGACCGTACGGCCCTCGTGCCTGCACTCGGCGGCCCCGCAGCCAGTGCGCCCGCGGCAGCGGCCCCGGTCCTGTCCCGTGCGTCGAGCCTCGCTGCGGCCCCCGCGGCGCCCGGCGGTGGCTGGCTAAGAGGCCAGCCCGGCGGCGGCCGATCCCCATGAGGCGGCCGAAAGGACCCTGTCCGAGAGGACGGGCGACGGAAGAAACCGTCCATGCCTTCGCGGGCAAGGGATAAGATTATGCGGTTTTTGCAGAAAACCTCTCTTAGTACTTGTGAATTACAAAATGATTTTCATGAATTATTATTGTAATTCAGATTCATGATTAAGCCCCTCGGGTTTTAACATGTCTAAAGCATACTATATTTACCTCATGTAAATATTAATTTTAGACCCTAGGTTTAAAATGCAATATGATGCACAATATTTACCTCAGTAAATAAGTATTTTTGAGACCCATGTGTCATCAAGAATTACATCATGACATGTACTGCTGCAAATGAATTTACCACTGTAAATTCGTTTTCCAGATCATATGTTTTCTGGAATTTTTAGTACTGTTCAAAGCGTTTGTCCAAATTAGCAAATCCAATAAACATGTGCTATTAACATTGCATGTTCAAAGTGTTTGTCTAAATTGGCAAACCTAATAAACATGTAGTATAATCATTACATTGTTCAAAGTATTTGTCCAAAATGGCAAACCCAATAAATATGTAGTATTACTATCATGACCTTATTATTGTAACTACTTTGTTATTTGCAATTTTCATTTTATGTTAAGCCCATTTATGCTTTATTTAAAGCTTATAACGCTTACATTTTTTAATGCAAAATCAATTAAGTGTATTACCTCATTATTTGTATAACACAAATGTTCCATATTGTATGTTGGCCATACACAAGGTAACGTCATAGTTGCTACTGTAGGATCTACACTAAATTCTTAGCGACTATCCTCAATATGCGTACCTAACATCACAAATTGGAACATACGGTCTACATCTTTTCACAAGATGACTATCATTAATCAGCATTCCTATTGGCCATACACAAGGTAGCACCATAGTTGCTACTGCGGGATCTACACTAAGTCCACAATTTAGTGACTATCCTCAACGTGCGTACCCAATTCGTTTGCGGATTAACTAAGGTCTACATCAATTTTTTGATGATTACCTTAAAATGTGTTTATACAAATTGCATATACTACTTGGCATCTACTGTTCAACAGACTATATTCATATTAATAGAGGTCTACATCTTTATGATGACTACCTCTAATGTGTTAGAATAAATGAGGTTTACACTATTAGTGAGATATATCTTGTCTCCTATTTATTTTGCATTAATTAATACATCATCACCATAGCAATTTTAAATTTACCCTTAGCGTAAATTCAGAAAATCTATGGTTTAAACCTTGTTAGAATAATAGCCAGCAAAGAGTTTGATCTCTTGCTCTTGATGGTCACCATTATCTAATATGGTCAATGGACGTAAAGTTAAACTTTATTGTTCAATGAATTCATAGCAAAATATACTTGGTGCTCCTCGTAAGAGAGCATCACCGCTTACTGAACAATTAAGTATGGAGTTTTATTTAAATAAAGCTCTATACACATCTAGATCACACATATGTGTATCTCAATGGATGCAAATCGAAGCATTATATGGCTAGCTTTCAATGAGTGATACGAACAACACAATGCCAATGCCAACTATGATTGGCCACGACTTTATCTCTATGATCTTAAGTCCACTTGAGAATATAATTATGTTGTTTCAAAATATCCCCCAACATTACGTTTTCGCGAAAGTACACAACTTACCAAATGTATTCTAGATTAATTCCTACATTACTTCAGGTCTAAGTGTATGATAAACTCTTATCGAGGAATCATCATTAGCATTATAGTGATGCTCTATCATCTAAAGTACATTGAATTTTTAGAATCATTACAAGTTCGATGCCATGTAGTAATGCCATCCATAGAACTTTAAGGGTAAGATTTAACGCAAAAAGAAGTAGCAGCTCCGTGCATTCTTTAGGGTCAAGGCATTTTCCAAATATGACAGAACCATATTTTGTCCCAATTGTGTATGTTACAGCCACACAACTTGAAAATGTCATGCCTTAGAAACATTTAATTGATCGGTATTACAAATCCATTGGACATAAATATCCGGTTCAACAATAAAGATATGAAGCACGCTTGTATCTTCAACCTGACACCACCAGGAAGGCCAATTGTTCACAACAAGTTTCATGAAGAAACCAAGTAGCAACCAAACACTTAATTAGTAAGTGGGTCTTATGAGCATGGAGAGCACGATCATCGAATTTACTTCGCTTGATCTATTTTGGGGACCAAAATTTGTCTCCCATTTACAAACATAACTAGTATCTACGTCTTATTTTGGTGTTGTAATATAAAATGTTGTCATCAATTTCAATTGAATATCATAATAATGTGCCATCACATTTGATATTCCATTAATTAACTTGTATATAATCTATATATCTGCAAAGAATGTCATTATATTCTTCATGCTATATATAGACTTATATGGGAGTCAATTCAAATGCAAAGAGGAATTTTGCCTAGTGGATAGTTGCACCACAAACTCTATATATAGGAAAGCAAAATATTCCTAAACTCTTACATAGAGACAAGGAAATATTTTGTTAATCGCTTGACGCGATGTCATGATAGTGGGCATTGGTCGTGCTACTATCTTACTCCCAATTGGTACTTAAATAATAATCATGAATTCATTCTTGTATTCTGATTCCATAATGTACCCAATTAAAATTATAGAGATATCCGTCAATGTGGTTTTCATATGGAAACCCTAAGATGACAACTAAGAGGAGTATTTTTCTCTTAACAATGGATATGGCAATACTTAAACAAAACATCCTCAGTTGGATTTGACTATATATACATAACCTGTATCCAATGTTGCGTACAAATAATTCTCTCTCTTGATGTCAATAAGACTTGGCACATTTGCCTTGGTTATTAAACTATAGAGATAACTTGAGAATTATTGTCAATTCTATTGGTCATAGCATCAATATGAGCCACTACATTTCTTGAAAAAATTCAAGAACATACATGTGACTCTATTTACCATTTTATGGACCATAAATATACTATGTAATGCACATTTATGCATCCATAATATAATCCCAGGTGTGTCTCTTAGTCATGAGAACCATCACTATACCAAACTCATTGCTCGAAATCTTCAATTTAGAGCAAATTATCCTATATGAGGGATCAAATCCATTTTATATGAAACAGTTTGGTTTTTGGGTACTATATATCAAGTACCTTATGTCCATACTAATAATGGTTTTTATTGAGTCTCTTATTGAGAATCAAATTGCATGACATATTAAAATAGAATTATAATTTACCAGAACTAAGTCGTTTTCATGTGGCCTTACACACCGCATCGTTAATTCAAATTCATCAAGCTGCACTTATACAACTTTGGCCGTAGCCAAACATTTCCCATCTGCGCATTGAGTATGTTTTCACATACCCATATCACCACCCCAACATACCAATGGGCATTAGGGATCCCAAGAGGAAACTCTACAGGAGATTTATAAATTGCCCGTATGTTGATCACATTTGAGGATAATTCCAGACATCAGGGGGAGATTTATACCACATTAAGAATGCCAGAAATCAAAAGAGCAATCCTCACATCCACGTACCAAAAATTCTAAACCTAATCGTTTAGAATGTCTTATATTTGCATCATATTGCAAAGAATCCACCAGAAACATTTACTGATAATAAGGGTGTCACAAAATCCTCTTATCCTACTTATAATGCGCCCGAAAGAATGGAGGTACCAATTAAAACCATTCAACTCCCACTTTCAAAGAAGAGAGAAGTACGGCCGCTCCTAAGGATAATGCTCCAAGTAAGCGTCCGAGGATACCGAAGACAATATCCTCCAAATCAGTAAATCCAAGCCAACCTCAAGTTGGTAGACACCCAAAATGGATGAGCATCCAAAACCCGGATCAAAATCCACCCGGATCAACGGTGCACCCAAATTCTGATCCTAGGACATTGGAACATCCTGACTCCATATGGGAAATGACTCGGAGTCTAAAAGGGTTAACATTTTCACGTGCTATATTGATTTCAAGAACTGAATCAATCATTTAAAGACTATAAATTGTCGCGGCATATACTTCTCAAAGATTGCTTTTTTACCTTACTGGAACCAGACCAAAAGTCCTAGGCAGAGTATGTTCACACTCAAATTTGGTCAAACTAAAAGGTGGCAATTAAGGAGATTGCTCTTGTTCAATGATGAGAAGTATTACCACAGTAATATCTTTCCTCACAGAGTTTCTTTTCAGAAGCAAGGTGGTGAACAATGAGAGCTTGTAGCATATGGTTTCACGCAGAGACCCAGCATAGCATATCCCATGGTATGTGTGAAAATAAAGTTTTCCAAATTCAATAATTGGCATATCAAATGAATTTGGTAGATTCGGACGTATAAGTCCCAATGGACTTCATATTCTGAATCCAAATACAAATCGTAACATACATTGTGTATAATTAAGCATGATTGCGTATATTGGTTATTTTGATATCACCATGATATAGAAATAATTATGCAATCATTTGAGATACAATTTCCATCATGTGGATTCGAGATGGAGGATTTGGGTAAGACCAAATATTGCCTAGGCTTATAACTTGAGCACCGTCCTTTAGGGATTTTAGTGCATGAATCAACCTACATCTAGAAAATATTGGAGAAAAGATATTGGAACCAAGGTTCCGTATCTTAGTGTTATTGGAGCACTTATGTATCTTGCAAATTACACCAGGCCTGATATCGCATTTGCAGTGAACATACTAGTTAGACATAGTGCAAATCCAACTCACCGTCATTAGACGGGAGCGAAGCATATCCTCAGATATCTTAGTGGCACAAAGGATCTTGGTTTATTC